CTGAGGAGGCCTGCCTGGCCAGCAGTAAATTTCCCCTCACAGCTTCCTCGAGACTCCAGGGAGCCCCACTCCCACCGGGGAGGCACTTTTAGACAAGTCCTAGCTCAGCTTCGTAAGTACAGCACCTGAGTCCGCAGACCTCTGCTGCTTCTGAGGTGTGTGTGTTAGGAGTGGCATGGGTGGCTGCACAGGCTGTCCACTATCCGGCTTTTTAGAGTGGGGGCTAAGGGTGGCAGCATCCTTATCACCCAGTGTAGAACCTTCTTACTACCCCCAGAGAGACAGAATAAGACTTGTCTTACAAGATGAGTTGTACATCAGAGTTTCTGAACCGCTGGGGTGTTATGACTCTAGGGCCATAGTGTGGTGGTTCCCCTGAAATCCTGGGAAAAGTCACTTTTCTCTGGCTCTTATTTCCCTGCCTGTCAAATGGAAGAAACGAAATCTGTCTCTCAGATAAGTTCTGGGTTGAAGGGGCCTGGTTGACACAGTCTCTTTTGGAAATTCAGAGGAACTGGCTGGGATTGACAAAGCTGCTCCCTGCACTCCTCTTGACCCCAAGACTTCCAGAAAAAGTTAGTCCTCAGACTGCAAGTCTGGAGAGAATCTTAGTGTGTCAAGTAGACACCTTTTTTTTTTCGGTTTTATGAGACAAGGTTTCTCTGTATTGTTTTGGAAGGTAGACACCTTTTTATATATTTAAAAAACATTTATTTTATGTGTGAGTGTTTTGCCTGCACATATGTCTGTCGGTACACATGATCAGAAGATGGCATAACATGTGAACTGCCATGTGGGTGAGGGGAATCAAACCCAGGTCCTCTGAAAGAGCAGTTGGATGCTCTTAACCATTGAGCCATCTCCCCAGCCCCAGATACCAAGTCTCACTCAACAGTTTTACAGATGATAAAATCAAGGAAGAGAGTTGAAATAGGGAAGCTGATGTCTATGTGAACTGAGCCAGGGTCTGGCCGGCTAGTCTTCATTCCCATCAGTCCCCTGCAGATTTACAAAACTGTCCTTACAATTTACCTGCCTCTGTCTTGTCTTCAGCACCCCGTAGGGATAAAACAGAGGGAGCTTGAATAAAACCTCAAAATAGAATCTTCTTGAAATAGAACACCTAAGCTGGGCATGGTGGCTGACACAGATAATCCTGCCCTTGGAAGGCTAAAGCAGAGATCACCACCATGAGTTCCTGGGCTACAGAGTGAATCCCAGGCCGGCCTAGGCTAAAGAGTAAGACTTTGTCTCAAAAAAGAAAACAATGAAGCAAAAGAAAGAATTAGGAACAGATTATGCAAGTAGATTCTGTACGGTGCTGTTTGGGGCAGCCCCTTCTGAGACATAAGGGCATGTTGGAAAAGGAGACGATTCAAAAGGAATGCCTGCCTGCCTGCCTGCCTGCCTGCCTGCCTGCCTGCCTGCCTGCCTGCCTCCCTCCCTCCCTCCCTTCCTTTCCTTTCCTTTTGTTTGTTTTTGAGACAGGGTTTGTCTCTGTAGCCCTGCCTGCCCTGGAACTAGCTCTGTAGACCATGCTGACCTTGAATTTAGAGATCTGCCTGCCTCTACCTCCCAAGTGCTGTGATTAAAGGCATGTGCCACCACTGCCAAACTGGGAATGCTTTTCTAAGTGGTGTGGCTACACATTGTGCTGGGCCCTGTGGTATGTGATGGTATATTCCAGTAAAGGGACCATAAGACACTAGCCCTGTCCTCACATTGTTCCCAAGCTAGAGAGGTCATGTGACATGTACCAGAAACGCAGACAACAACCAGTACAAGGCTCCGAGGGTAAGCCTGCTATCTCTAGGTGTTCCTAGAGGGCCATAGATAAGCATGAGGAACTTTTGGAAGAGCAGTAGAAAATTCTAGAAGATGCTGAAGAGATTTGGACTGAAAGAGAAAGACCTAGAAGGTGCTGAGTGTCCTCGGGGACAGGGGACTGGGTTACATCCGGGCTTGAAAGCTTTTGTCATTTTTCCAATCATTTAAAGAATCAAGAAAAATGCAGAAGAATCTAGTGCAAACCTATAATCCCAGTACTCAGAGGCTGAGAGAGCTGGAGCTTGAGGCCAGCCTGGGCTATATAGTGAGGCACCATCTCAAACAAACAAATAGCAACAAACTAGAAGGGAAAATTAAAGATGAATAAAGAAGAATCCGTGTCTGCTTGTGAGTTGTAGAGAACAGGTAGCCAGATCTGATTCGGGGAACCTCTCGCCCATTTCTGACCTAGGGGCAAAATAGAAGCTGGTCTGGGGAAGTAGACTGAGGATAGACCTTTCTGGGCACCCAAGTCCAGTATAAAATAAAATCTAGTTTTGTTCTGAATCCAAGTGGGAGGTTGGACTCTATGATATCTAGTGTGGGTATGTGTGTAGGCCAGAGGTTAACGTTGGGTGTCTTTCTCAATTGCATCTCACCTTGTATATTGAGGAAGGATCTCTCACTTGAACCCAGGGTTTGCCAATTTGACCCTAGTCAGCTAGCCAGCTTGTTCTAGAGTTCTCATCACTGCCTCCTGAGTTCTGAGATTACAGAAGGGCTGCCACGTCTGCCTAGCATTTAGGTGTGTGTTGAGGATCTCCATCTCCTGGGATCTATAATATTTGGATATCCCTAGACTAGACTCCTTCCAAGACAGTGGCTATCAAGACCCCAGGGAGGGTGTGTGCCTTTACCGAAAGGGAAGGACTGAGGGGGGAGAGGCTGGGGTTGGGGTGAGGGGTGGAGCTTGATCTACCTAAAAGACTTGCAAGAGAGATGTCAAGTAGACCACTGACATCAGGACCTTGAGCTGAAGCTGAAGCTGGCGGAGGTATTTTCAAGAGCAGATTAGTCAAGTTCCTTCAGGAAGGAATGTAGAGGCAGGAGTAGCTGAGCCTCACACAGAGGATCAAGAGAGCCAGAGAAGCGGGGGACACACACAGCAGGCTGCCTGTCGAAAGCCAGGAGGAGGGTGTCATTTCAGAAGGGGGGTAACTGTGCCCAGCACTGCTGAGACCCAGAAGATGAGTCCTGGGGGCGGGGTGCAGGGAGACCTGGTCATTAAAGAGGACTCTAGTGGCCTCACTGCCAGCAGCTTCAGTGGCAAAGTGGGTGTGGAGTCACAGAGGAAAAGGGTGACGTCAGCAAGTCTTCAGAGACACTCTAACCTTTGCATAACGGCTGAAACGAAGCATTAGTCATAAAGATGAGGGATGGGACTAAGCAAACTCGTACCGGGTACCTACTATGTCCCAGGCACAATGTCAAGGTCTGAGAATACAAAGAGGGGAGGCAGGCCTGAATGACCACACTCCAGGACTCTCAGCCCAGAAGGGTAGAGACAAGAGGATCAGCAGCAGGATGCCACAGCCTATGGCTCAGGACCAGGAGCGCAGAGCTGGTACTGTGCGACCCCGTGCTTGCAGATATGGAGAGAGAAAGAGAAGCCTGGCTCAGCAGTGGGACAGAGACTTCCAAAAACCACAAAGTTGTGAAAGAAAGGAGGGGGTTAGAAATAGGTTGTGGTCAAATGTGACCTCACAGAGCAGAAGGGAGCTATCTATACAAGATGAATTGGAGGGGTAAAGCTGCTGGGAGACAGTACTTTGCTCTAGAGCAGTGGTCCTCAACCTTCCTAATGCTGCGACCCTTTAGCACAGTTCCTCATGTTGTGGTGACCTCAACTAAAATCATTTTTGTTGCTACCTCCTAACTGTAACTTTGTTACTGTTATCAGAACCATAATGTAAACATCTGATATGCTACCTCGAAAGGGGTCGTGACCCACAGCTGGAGAACCACTGCTCTACAATACCACTTCTAGCTGAGTGTAGATGTGCTCCCTTGCTATTCCAGGGTTTGGGAGGCAGAACAGGAGGGTCAGGAACTCTAAGTCGTCTTCAGCTAAATAATGAGGCCAGCTAGGGCTAAAGACTCTGTGAAGCAAGCGTGTGTGTGTGTATGTGTGTGTGTGTGTGTATGTGTGTGTGTGTGTGTGTGTGTGTGTTTGGTGGAGGAAAGGGAGGAAGGCGAGGGAAGGAGAGAAAGAGAGAGAGATTTCTAAAGGGAGGAATACATGGAAAACAGCATGGATCCACCAACTGCATCCCAAGTACTGTATTAGTTTCTGTATTTAATCCCTGTATTTATTTGGGAACTGGGAGGCAGACCCCCCATAGTCAAAGAGTATATATATATATATATCAAACAAACAAACAACAACAAAAGTCAACTATAGGGCCCCACATAATGGAAAAACTCCTAGTAGTTGTCCTCTGACTTCCATGTACGTGCTATGGTGTGTGCACGCTCCTGGTTCCCCCACACACAAAACAAATAATAAATAAATAAATGGAGGTTGTGAGAGTCAGGGGGCTGAAGATTCTAATAGCTTGTGGGGTGTTGGTGACGCATGCCTTTAATCCCAGCACTTGGGAGGCAGAGGCAGGCAGATCTCTGTGAGTTCAAGGCCAACTTGGTTGACAGCAAGTACCAGGACAGGCTCTAAAGCTATACAGAGAAACCCTGCCTACTCCCCTCAGCCCCCAAAAAAAGATTCTAACAGCTAGGGCGGGGGTGGCAGGGAGGAGGAAGGGCTGCATGGGAGGATGGGAGGACTCCTTTCTGTGAATGGACTGATGTGGTGGAGAGCCCTGAGCAGAACCAAGGGGAAGTGTGCACGGGGACTCAAGGTTCCAGCACCAGTGGCAGTGGCACTCTTCATTAGATCGTCAGATCCAGGAAAAGGTGTGGGTTTAGAGAGGCTTTGCTCTTAGTTTTGAGCAAATTGAATTGAGGCGTCTCCAGGACACCAGATGGAAAAGGCCTGGGGGAGTCAGAAATAGATTAGGAACTCGAGAGGCAGATCCAGGATGTCCACACAGGGGAGGAGATGCTGTATGGTCCAGATGATGTCCCTGTTGTTGGAGACCTGGATGGTCCGTAAGGCCTGGGTTTGTGAATCAGCTCTGAGAATAACAGAAGTTAGAACTCATATATAGCTCGCATAATTTATTACTACAGTAATGCTTTATTTTTAAACTTTTGTATCTATATTTTTATGTGTGTTGATGTTTGCCTCTGTACATGCATGTGCGCCATGTGTGTGCGGTGCCCTTAGAGGTCAGAAGATTATGTGGGATCCTCTTGAACTGGAGTTACAGGCAGCAGCGAGCTGGAAACCAAATGGAGTCGTCTGCAAGGACAGCAAGTGCTCTTACCCACTGAGCCATCTCTCCAGCCCCTGCTTTGTTTTGATGGCGACTCAGAGATTTAGGCTAGCAGGGATCATCTGGTCACTTACCTTAACAGTCTTACCAGGAGATACACTTGTGACTGACCAGCTGGGAACCAGAGGACCAGTGCCAGTAGCTCTTCTAGGTACACAGGCAGATCCAAATCCCCATTTAATAGATGACAAAAACAAGTCTGTAAGAGAGGCAAGCCTGTCTCAGCCCACAGTAGTGTTAGCAGTGGGAAGCAACTTTGGTTGAACCAGCTGGGGAACTCCAGGCCTGCAGCGGAACCTGGCGCCAGAGGCCCATTGGAGTGGCACAGGAGGGAGGAAAGGCACTTCAGGTTCAAGCTGCTAGTTTTGCAGAGTGTAAAATTACTGCACAAGTCCTAGAGAATAAACAGAGTTAACACCCCATTAAATACAATGGACTTCCGCTGTGTGCGCCAGACGTGCGAGGACTGAAACTAGCTGAGCAGGAGGGAAATGTATCACACCCGCTGCCTTCATGCTTCCAAAGAAGAAAAATCCAGAGCAGGGGCAAGAAAGCGCCGGCAGCGACTCTGCAGGCTCAGGGCTGAGGACCCGGTAATGAAGTCTTTCTGGAAGGTAGGAAGGGCTGTGTGCAGTGTGCTATTTTTAAACCTGCTGTAGTGGCAGTTGTATTCCTGCCCTGGCACTTTCTCTTGTGAAGGAGGGGCTCGGGGGAACGCAGCCAGGAATTTAGATGCTATTTATTGTATTTCCTTTTATCAGTCAAATGATTTTCTTATTTCCCACGTAGATAAAGATCTTGTGCTCACAGCTTCGGCTTGTTGACCTTGTCAGGACTGCTGTGCTGTCTGGAAATTGGTCCCAGAGAGAGAAAAGGGCATTGTTGTTAGGGGCTGCTTGGTGGATTGGGTTTTCGGTTCTCCCAGCAGAAAGGAGCTCAGTTTGCCAAATATAAATAAATAAAAACCTTCTCCTCAAAACAGAAACTGATTGTCTTATGTTTCTTTTTTCTCTTGCAAAACTGAAAGGTTGTCCAATAAGTTTGCTTCAGTAGCCGTGTGCACCTGGCTTTTTAGGAGCGCGCACGCGTACACACACACACACACACACACACACACACACACACACACCTCCTTCTCTCTCACCACACTCTTCTTCTCTCTCCCTTCCTTCTTTTTCTCTCCCCCCATTCCCCACTCTGTCTCTTTTCTCTCCTTTTCCTTTTCCTCCCCCTCTCCCTTTCTCCCCCCCACCCCCAAACACACAGCGAATCGGCTCTGGCAGTGTTGTAGAGCCTCCTCCTTGGCAGGAAACAGGGCAGAGGGGCGGGGACCCCTCTGTCTGGGTTGCCAGCTCCGGGCGGTGGAGATGCCAGGACGCCTGAGCTGAGCCATGGCAGCTTCCACTCTGCTGGAAGCCTCTGGGAGCCAGCCAGGCCTCTGCCAGCTCCTTCCAGGGGCACAGTGAGGCCGCAGGGCTGCCTCTCGGCCGGAGGCCTCCTCATGGGCACTCTGCCCCTATTGTCTCGCCTGGCTTGGGGCTGCGGGCCAGGTTCGCAGGCAGAAGTCAGCGCCACTGCCGCTCACCTCGGAACTAGCTCAGCAGATGCTGAGGGAGGCTGGAGTTTTATTGCAAATCCTCATTTTTGGCTGGCTCACAGCTACAGAACATCAAAAGAACCAGCTAGTCTGAGGGCAGCCAGCGCCTTGCAGGCTCGCAGTGTGAAGAGTAAGGAGGTGCAGGTCTCCAGGACGCTACAGTGAGCCCACTGAGGTTTTAACGGAGACCAGCTTTCCAGACCCCTGGGGTCCTTTCCCTCCACCGCGGTGCTTCCTGGTTGGGACGGCAGAGGGCGCTCCCTCCTCTGACAGCACTGAGACCCAGCCTGCCTTCCCACACATCTGGAAATGGGCTCTACCACTCTTAAGAAATACCAGAGAGTCTGTGTGAGATGTGCTGGCACCGGAGTACGCACGCATACACATCACAGATTCCACTTTCTCATGAGTTAGATTTCCCGTGAAGAGCGCCTGTGGAATGTGGGGAATTTGCCTTGCCAAGGCGGCCAGCACATCCTATTCTTGGGCTTGTCTGGCCCCCGGTTGTAATGCTTGGATGGACCACCTCTGGTCTGAAGCCTTTGCCCTCCACTCCCACATGGAGTGGGGAAGAAAAAAGGAGACCTCCCAGATCTTTTCCTCAAGGGAAGAAAATTAAAAACGTTGAGTGCTGACCTTATAGGCCTTCAAGATGAAAGCAGATGTGGAAGTCCAAGACAGGGTCTTCCTAATTACAAGAGATTAGGAATGCCAAAGTGACAAGCCAAGGATGGAGGAGTGAGGGGCTGAAGCCAGCCAAAAGCCCTAGTTGCTATTCTGAGGCTGCACCCCAGACTCCTGAAGGCTGCATGCATTTAAATGTTCACATTTTCTGCAGAAGCCAGAAATCTCCACTTCTCTTGGCCAAACAACACATCAGTCTAATATGGTGTGGGAGAAATATGTTACATTCTTTTATGAACAGAATGTTAACATCACCCAGAATCAATATTTATGTCCAAGAACACAATGAACTTCAGGGACAGACAAGCAAGCTGAGACTCAGGCATCCCAGAGTTCTTCCTGGAAGACTGGGGTTGGGTCCCTTCCTGGCTCCACAGTCCTCTGGTCTCTTGGGATTGTAAGAAGAAACCAGAGCAAGCAAAGCAGGAACCAGTGATGAGGTCCCGGATGTGAGGCAGCATGGGCAGCATCCGTAGGCAGGTCAGGGCCTCCTCCTGTCAAGTGAGGAGAGGGCCAGGGTTGCATCCGGCCTTTCCTGCTGATTTCAGACTAGGTGCCGACAGAACAGAGGGACACCCGGAAACTGACGAGCAAGAACTGGAGGGAAATGCTGCTGCTCCCTCATAGGTGTTCTTCTTGGATCAGGCAATTACTTTCAGGTGAGGCAGGGACTGGGAAAGAGGCCTACTGCTATCAAATGTCTTTGTTTGTTCCCTCACATTGATTTTTTTTTTTAACTTTTCTTCCTCTGGAGACAGCTCAGAGCCCGGAGTCAGCTACTTGCTCCCTGCATGTAAAATCTTTACCTAATTAAAACAAAAACAAAGGCCTTTCCCAGAAGATTTTGTGTTTCCCAGCAACATAGAATCTTAAAATGGGAGCTTCCTCTCCACCCTCTCCAATGTGAGGACTCAGTGGGGCCTCCTTTTGCAGAGCAAGCTGGTCCTCTTCGTTTTCAGATGAGGCGCTGAACGCTAGTGCTTGCAGAACAGTACTGGTCTCTCATTAGATACCTGGAGCTCATTACTGCACATCCTGCAGCAGTCTTCAGTGCCTTAATCGTAGGCATGATCATCAGGAAAGATCCCTTGGTTTAGGGGGAAGATTAAGGAATGGTTAATCTTGGCCCAATTTAGTTGTGGGTCAAGTCCTCAGAGTGAAACCCCTCTTTGCAGGTGCACAATTGATCATTTTTTTGTACTCTCTAGACTTTCCTAGGTGCTGTTAGTTGTTGCAGTGTGTATGGTTTGTCCTGTTTTGTTTTGTTTTGTTTTTTTCACCCAGTTCTTTACTATTTTGAGACAGGGTCTCACCCTGTAGTCCTGCTGGCCTGAACTCACTATGGAGAGCAGGCTGGCTTTGAACTCTGAGATCATCCTGCTTCTGCCTCTTAAATGTTGGGATTAAAAGCCTGTGCCACAATGCCCAGCTTTTCATTCAGTTCTTACAGACGAACAGTAAATATCCCAATCACGTTTGCTATAAAATCAGTCAAGATAAACAGATACTGCCATGCCAGAAGGAAGTCTAGTGTGTTCTTTCCAGATGCACGGCTCCCTTGCTTAATCTCTGGCATGAAACCTACGCAAGTACATTCTGTAACCACTACAGAGAGGCCGGCTGATTTAAGAAAGCTGCCTCCGTCCACATGCTCTTGTGGTGTTAGGGAAAGGGAAAAATAGTCAAGGCAAAGCATAGAACATGACACCTTTACCCAGGGGTGGCAGAGGTTGGTAGGTGACTTTGCCTAAGCTTCCTCTAAGTCAACCCCATGTCCAAACTTACCCTTCCAGCACTAGTCCATTAATAGAGATGCCTCCTTAACACTCACAAAGACCCCTTCTTCCAGTCACTTCCTTCTGCCCCAGCCTGCCTTCCTCTAAGTTCTCCAGCTCCGTACGTGGGCCCTACCCACCAAAGTGTCTCTTTCCATCTCTCCCACCTCTAATTCATGCTGTTTTGTTCTTTCTTTACCTTTATTTGGGATTACAGACATTCTCCACTATGCCCATCTTAGTCATGTTATTTAGTGCTTTGTTAGGAAGCCCAAACATGTCTGTATTCCATATTTTTAATATTTTGATAGCTATATTTCAATGTAGTGGATTTCTTAACTTCTTGTTGTTTTGAGACAGGATCTTGCTATGTAGCCCTTACAGGCTGGGAATTCACTCTGTAGACCAGACTGGTCTCTAACTCAGAAAGATCTGCTTGCCTCTGCCTCCTGAGCGCTGAGATTAAAGACATGCTACCATGCCTGGCTAGTTTTTGTTTTTTAAAATGTAGCTGAAAACATTGCTTTTAGAAGGACTGGCTCACAGCCTTCACTGCATCGCCACTGGGATACACGACAGGAAAAAATGGCTATGAACTTCTGAGCTGGTTTATTGTCTTCTGATGTTACTGCTTTGCAAAAACAGCTGTGGTTGTTTTTTCCTCTGCTACCAATTAAAAGTAAAGTCCCTTAGCATGGCATCTGACGCTCATTACAGCCTCTTTGCCTAACACTTCACCATCGGCAGTGCTGGGGAGTACTGAGACCCTGCACATTGCTGTGCGAGTGCTCCATCACAGAGCTACCTGGCTGTTTCTGGTTTCTTTAAAAAACAACAACAAAACTACCTTGCTGTAGTACCCAGCTTAAAGTTGTTATACTGGCCGGGCATTGGTGGTGCACGCCTTTAATCCCAGCACTTGGGAGGCAGAGGCAGGTGGGTCTTTGTGAGTTGGAGGCCAACCTGGTCTACCAAGTGAGTTCCAGGACAGCCTCCAAAACAATACAGAGAAATCCTGTCTTGAAAAAGCAAAAAAAAAAAAGTTGTTATACTGGTAAAGCTCTTTTTTAGACAACCATTGAAACCTTCCTTTGTATTTTCCAGAACGCTTGGTTCACAGCTTGTTTGATCACTTATCGGACCCCACTGTAGTCTTTGTAGTTTTCTTTTTTTTTAATTTATTGTTGTACTATGAACTAGCTCCCGGAGGAGAGGGATTTCCTCCACTTTTCACCCAAAGCACAGAGAAATGTTCGAATGGAATGAATGACTACATCTAAAACATTCGTTCTCCCAAGTGGTGAGTAAAATCCAGTGACCATGCTAGTCTGCCTTAAAAAAAAAAAACCCGAGAACTTCTTTTCATAAATAGAAGGCTACTTAAAGCATCCACCAGCCTGGAGATAAATAGGTTATCATCTCACATTCCATTGCACAGGCCCAGCTGACGTGAGGAGGGCAAAACCATCTCAGGAGCCATTTGCTCTGGGCTGCATCTCCCATGTCTTCTCATATTACCCTTCTTTCAATGATGCCAAATATATTTCTGGCCAGTCTCCCCGGCTCACACTTCCCATTGCTTCCCAGCCTTTTCTAGCCATCAGCTTATGGTATGATTTTCATATCCTACAACACTCAGCTGCTTTTGGCTAATCTTAAACAAAGGCAGACACAAGGTTTTAAATTTTCTTTTCCTAAGGAGCTTGAGGAATTAAAAAGGAGACCCATTCCTTAATTTCATAGTTCAGTGAGCAGCTCAAGAGAGCCTACGTGCGTGTATGCACTGAGCATGGAAGGAATGCTAGCAAACAGTGACCTGAAGTTAGAAGCTCAGGGAAAACCACAGGCTTTTAAGAGCTGAAAGGAACTTTTTTTCAACTGATAGTAGAGATTTAAGCCAGCTGCTCAGGGATAATCTCAAGTTT